ACCCTCAATTTTTAGTCTAAAGATTTTAGACAAAAGCATAGTCTTATACGCAGAAAAATGCAGTACTTCTGAAGATGGTGAAGAGGTAACTTTTCCAGTTGACCCAATCTCTTGTCTGAATATTTGTTTGTTTGTTTGTTTAAAATATCTCTACCCCGCTTAAGGAGCGCTTTCTCCTTAACAAGGACCCCAGGTGGCTAACGTCACTGAAAGACAACACTGAAAGCTGAAAACTATTACACAACAGTGGCTGACATCATTAAAAGGCAATATTTAAAGCTAAAAACAGGAAGTATGCAAATATTAAAGAGGAGCATACAAATACCACTCTGAGACACTAAAAATTCAGAGGAATAAAACACAACAATCTTATTTTTTTAAAAAACCCAATTGAAGCAGCCAGTCACTAAAGGGAGGCTTGCCTGAAGAGAAAGGGCTTTGCCTGCTTGCAGAAGGACAACAGAGATGGGGCCAGCCTGGCCTCCAGTGGGAGGGAGTTCCAGAGTCTGGAATGTCTTTGATTTTAGGATATAGCTTCAACTGTAACTTATGTATTGCTTCAAAAACAAAGATTTTTTCTCTCTCTTCTCTCGGATTTATTAATTTATGCATTTATAAATCTCTTTTTGGCCTCTTTGGCGTACCCAAGAACCCTTCCAATTAATTGAGAAGCACTGCTCAAACAGGTTTAAAATCCCAGGAAACATGGTGGCTGGGGATGGTAGGATTTGTAGTCCCTTGTGTTTGGTCAGTGCCACGCTGGGGATTAAGTCATTATTCTGGAATCTTTGCTTCTGATGCTGCAAATGTTTGAGGATTTTTTTAAAAAAATAATTTTTATTGGACAGAATGAGAGAGAGAGAGAGAGAGTGGGATTTGAGATGCCCCAGGAAACGAGTTTTGATTCAGATGAATCCTAATTGCTGTGCTGAAAGAATCAATTGTCACATTCTGTAGGATGGACCTTGAGTCCTTTCTTGCTGGGGTTTCTCCTTTTAAAGCCATAATTGGCGTTCGCAGGAGTTTTGTTTTATAATTTGCTCTGAACAGGGCTTTTTGAGTCTTCACTCACATGGCAGGTCTACGATTTTACAGGGTCATTAGTCAACTGGTCAGTACAATGATGAATATTTTCCTTAAGTGTGACCTCTAATCCAGTAACGTTCCTTTCCTTGAGTTATTTCAGAGGCTTAAATAAATTGGGTGGCTGCCCAGGGTGCCAGACCCTTTGACCTGTAACATCATTAATCAAAATATCCCTCAATTGGTTACAGTGGGACTCGAGACCTGTAGTTCTTTGGGAACTAGTTCAGTAGACTTAAGAAAAGGAGAAAGAGAAGAGGTTTCCCCTATTATTTAGACAAATGATTCACGAGTGGCATTTGTTCCTTACCATTGAGAAGATCTTCTACAGTGGTGCCTCGCTTTACGATTGCCCCGCATTATGACAAATCCGCTTTACGACGATCTTTTTGCGATCGCAAAACGATGGTCTAGATGGGGGAATTTCGCTTTGCGATGATCGGTTCCCTGCTTCAGGAACCGATTCCTCGCAAAACGATGATTTTCCTACAGCTGATTGGCGGCTTCAAAATGGTCACCGAGTAAATAAAATGGTCCCCCGCTGTGTTTAGGGACGAATTCCTCGCTATACAGGCAGCGAAAATGGCCGCCTTATGGAGGATCTTCGCTGGACTGCGAGTTTTAAGCCCATTGGGCTTTTTATTTTCGCTTTACAATGTTTTCGCTTAATGGCGATTTTCCTGCAACAGATTATCGCCATTAAGCGAGGCACCACTGTATGTTACGACACTTATCCTTACCATTTATGATCAGGAGAGGACGTTGCTGTGAGTCAGCAAAAAAGAACAATTGAAAGGTAGACAGGAATCATGTACAGGATGCTAGTGTCAACTGAGACAAATTTTCTTGAGTTGTAGTGTTGGGAAGGATCATGACTCAACTAAACCGTTCCATGATATTCAGCACAAAATAAAACTAAAAATAACGGTAGGATTCTGAGAAGGAAAAGAGATTTTAATGAATTCTTCCCATAATTAGTTTTTCTTCTTCTTGATTCCTTAAAAAGCAGCCCACACATTTCAAAAAATGGTTTTGATATTCTGGGAGATAAGACAGTATCTTTTGATGCTTGGTGAGCTTCAAGTATTTGATGTCCCCGGCTTTAAGTCTGTCCTTGACACGAGAAGTCACGTATAAATCATTCTGATGGTCCAATGTTGCCCTGTGTTTCCTCCTCACAGTCCAATGTGGGTTCCTCTCCTTTCCTTCTGGCCGGTTATGAGGATGGATCAGTGGTACTGTGGAATTTGTCCACGGGGAAAATGTGGAGCCGCCTGGCGTGTCATCAGGAGCCAATCATGAGCCTTGACTTTGACTCGGAGAAAGCCAAGGGGGCGTCGGGTTCGTCTGAGAAGATGCTTTGCGTCTGGAGGCAGAACGAGCAGCAGGACCTGGAGGTCAGAGCGTCTGCCCTTTCAGTGCTGTTTGTTCTGTTGTGCACTAATGATCTGGAAGGCGGAGGCAGAGGAAATGCTTAGTCGGGTGAAGAAGGGTTGTTACAGATCCCTGGCCAATAAATCACGAGCTGGTTGTGATCTGCAGGAAGATGGCTGGGAGGGTTTCTAAGCTCCCATATATTTGTTGATTCTTTAACCTCTGCTACAACCAACTTTAAAAAATGCACTTTATTGTAGAAACCCCACTAAGGAATAATGATGTGTCATCTATAAAGTCAGTTCTGACTTACGGCGACCCAGGGTTTTCTAGGTACACTCAGAAGGGGCTTACAAATCCTGTCTTCTGGTGGCATTCTGGGACCCTGTCACTTGCCCATGGCTGCAGAGGTTGGGGGATACATAGCTCCTTGAGTCATGTCCGTTCTGGGTGATCTCGGCTCACCTCCTCTTCCTGGAGAGATTCAAACTCCTAGTCTATGACTCTGACCCACTAAGATCTCTTAGTTGTTTACTCGTGTCCAACTCTTCATGACCGCCATGGACCAGAGCACACCAGGCCCTCCTGTCTTCCACGGCCCCCCAGAGTTGAGTCAAATTCATGTTGGCCGCTTCGGTGACACTGTCCAACCATCTCGTCCTCTGTCGTCCCCTTCTCCTCTAGCCTTCACTCTTTCCCAGCATCAGGGTCTTTTCCAGGGAGTCTTCTCTTCTCATGAGATGGCCAAAGTCTTGGAGCCTCAGCTTCAGGATCCGTCCTTCCAGTGAGCACTCGGGGTTGATTTCCTTCAGAATGGATAGGTTTGTTCTCCTTGAAGTCCAGGGGACTCACTAAGCTCTAGCAGTACTCAAAACCCGATATCCACTTCTAAGAGCTTATCTATATGACCATTATAGAATAGCTGTGGGCAGCGTCCATGGCCAACTTTCACTCCCCAGCGGGACCATCAAGTCCCTTGTATTGTAAAACGAAAGTGGCCGTTACTGGGTTGCCACTGTTGCTAAAAAGGGTGTTTTTGACATTTAGAAGCAGGTTGTGGTTTGTTGAAAAGATGGATAGATCCTGAGGTTTCCAGAAGAGCAAGTCACCGGAAAAAAAAAATCAGGGGACGAGCGAGGAACGAGGGCCACATGGCTTCCTCCCAGGATCAACCTGGTTGCTCCGTGTTTTCCCTTTGGATTTTGTGCTTTCGGAAAAGGAAGAACTTCGCTCCCTTCTCGTCTCCTAGTATGCAGAGAAACATGGAGCCGTTCTACCTGCCTGTGTTTTCTCTTGCCTCGAGATCACTGGGCAGGCCGTAGGATGCTAAGAGCAAGGGCTGGAAGCAGAGATGGAGAGATAAAGAAATAGAACGGCAAAAGAAGGAGGCTGTTGAGAATGTTAGTTCCGAAGCCAGCACTGCATCTGCTGTATCTCTCTTGAACCCAGTGCCCTCGTGGGCTACAAGACCCGTCATTTTCCCACGGTCATCCAGGTTATTTCTGTAGATGATGGAGCCCAAGAAACCTTCAAGCCGGCAGCGAATTATAGTCTGGGAGTTATAGTCTGACTCTTAGTCCTTGGTGAACCACTAGGCTGTTTTAGTTCTACGACAAACTCAACACGCAGGCTCTTAATTTTGTGCCATTAAAAAAGAAAAATCGTTTCTACAAGAACAAAGAACTGCGCTTTTGGATGGGGAGTGATAAATATCTCTCCCTGCCTACATCGAGCCTTCCGTTTTCGAGGGAAAGGGGCACCCCGTAACCTAAGAAAAGAGCCGAGTGGGATTTCTGTCCTGCGCCATCTGAAATTACGTTTCAGCGAGGCTTCTTTGGACATTCCAGGCTATAATGGGAAAGGGAGTTTATTAATATGAGCGGACGGGACGTCCTGTGCTCCGCGCCGCCGAAACAGCTGCCTCGTTAGGACATCGCCGGAGCAACCAAAGTCATCTAATGACAGCGTGTGGTAATGACTGCAGCCCGTAATCTATACATTTAACGAACACCGCACCAGTGCCAAGAGGTTAAGGAGGGCTTAATTAGGGGAAGGGCTCTCCGGCCTCCTTCTGCCGCGTAAGCGTGGATCACAAGCATGGGTGATTGGGGAGAGAATTCATTTTTGTTCAAAATCAAAGCAATTTTACGAGCGGCTGCTGGCTAAGCAATTGCATTCTTCCTGCAAATGTGTCAACCTGATCCTTGTTAAGGGATAACGTCTACTGATGTCAAGGGGACTGATTCAGTCCTTTGGAAAAAGCACATGCAGGTGGAGGGTAATGTTTTTAAATGTTCTACCAAATAAAAGCTCCCTGCAGACGGACAGCTAGCACTTAAAGATCCTGACATTGGTCCTAGCTTTCTGCATGCGAAGACTTCTTGCTATGGAGTTACATCCATGTATATATATGAAACTCTTTCTGACCCATTACCACCCAGCCCATGCATTCAGCAGTGCTCTGCTCCTCAGAAGATGTGCTGTTTTTTCTTCCCCGTCAGTGCTTTAATTGGCTTTAATTGGCTCCTACTTCCAAGCAAAAACGGTGAGGACCAAAAGGGAAGCAGAATGGCGGGACGTATCCTGAAGAGGGATAAGGCTAAGTGCCAGGCATCATCTGGCTGGAGCCAATGGGAGTTGTAGTCCCACATGTCTGGACAGTGCCAGGTTGAGGAAGGATGATCCTCCATACGGCGGCCATTTTTGGTGGGATGTCTGGAGAGTGCCAGGTTGAGGATGGATTTTGAACTCAGTTCAGTTCTGGTTCTCAAAGATGATTTTCTGGGTTCAGATATTCTCTCGTCCTGAAGCTACACCATGTGAGTGGCATGTCGTTCGAACATCCATGGACATCATATTCTCTGGAACGAGGTTTCTTCACTCTCAATTTTATGGATTAGCTCACTTCTGTTATCGTAATGCAGTTTCGTCGTAATGCGGGGCAATCATAAAGCGAGGCACCACTGTATTCTCTCGTCCTGAAGCTCAAGCTACACCATGTGAGTAGCATGTCGTTAGAACATCCAGGGACATCAGATTCTCTGGAACGAGGTTTCTTCACTCTCAATTTTATGGATTAGCTCACTTCTGTTATGCAAGCCGTCACTGGGTGGTGAGCACAGGCTTTGTTTGCAAGTTCGATGGCTCCGGCATGGCCCTTTGAAGGAATCACGTATCCAGAGGGTGACTGTTCTAATGGGAGGAGATCTGTATTGCCTTTCCTGTGTGATTTATTTCTTTCATGCCCGGCTCTGTTTGCTAGATTTGTTCTTTTTGTTTTGTTTCTGATACCAGGTGGGTCCAGACCCATTACGCCTCCCTTTCCCCGTTTTCCCTTTGCTTCTTGTGCAAGGAACGCATAAAAGATGCCCGGCTGAGTCTTCTTGGCCCTCCCTCTTCTCTGTCCTGTTTCGCTCCCTCTTTCCTATCGGGTTAATAATAGAAACCAGATGGGGCATTTCCTTGACATTCCCTCTTCCTGAGGTAATGATAGTGTTTGAAAAGCCACTCAGTGGCACGTTATTTTTACTCTGAAGAAGTTGAGGTGGGCTCTTAGATCCCTTCCCTGGCTCTCCAGAGACAGGATGGAAGAGTGGGGTTGTTTAAGATGGCGGCATTCCAGGATGACAGCGAGGAGTCTGTGAAGCCAGCCACCCCGCGTCCCCAGGGGGCTGCGCCAGAGCCTTTAGCAAATCCGGAGGGCGAAGCCTCCTCTTTCAGGAGCCGGAGGACCCAGTTAGCCGAAGATAGCCAGCCAAGTAAGAGTCCCACACGGAACTGTTATGTGCCAATGTGTCGAGTCTTCTCTGATCCTATGAACCAGTGATCTCCAAGATCTTCAAGAAGACGGCTTCGGTTTCAACATTTTTCTACCTCTAGAGAAAGTTCAAGCTTGATTTGATCTAGCACCCACTTGTTGATCATTCTGGCCGTCCAAGGTATCTACAAAGCTCTCCTCCAGCACCACATTTCAAACGAATCCATTTTCCCCCAGTCAGTTTTCCTTGTTGTCCACTTTTCACATCCATATCTACAAACAGAGTCATCCCATTGAGAAGGCTGAGACCTGCCGGTCAACATGAATATAAATCCCATTGTTTTGTTTTAAGAGTCTAGCCTAGCATAGGAGTCAAATCAAGACCAAATAAATAGCAAATGATGGCTGTCGGGGGGGTATGTGATGGTGGAATTTTTAATTTTCCAAAAAAAAAAAAATTGCTGGCAGTAAATTACCCTGACAGTGGTGATGATGTTGGAAGCCAGGTTGTTGTTGTTCCACTCAAGTAAGTGCCTCTGCTTGATTTTCAGTGCCAGCGCAACACGATGGTTAGAACAGTCCTCTGCTGGCATTCAAAAAAGTCCTGATTGGAAAGTATGAATTGGGAGAGAGTTCTCGCCCTGCCCCCTGCCTGTTGCTTTCTCTGTGCGTTGAGGGCTGCTCTGAAGAAGACCGTTTCTGCTACACGGGAATGCTTTTCATGTAGAAAATAAAGGTTTTTGACAGTGTCGAGAGGATCTATGTGTAACAGCATGTTCCCAAATGTTCCTCCTTTGGGGGGAGACAGTGACAGGCAGAGGACGGGGCTAGAAGTCTCCTTGCTGGCAATTTCATGCCTGAAATATGGCTTTTCTAAACACTGCATTACACTGGAGTGGGTTAATGGGCTGAAGACTGGGTTTGAAATCTCCACTGAGTCCTGAAACCCAGTGGGTGGCATTGAGCCTGTCACACTCTCTTAGCTTGACCTACCTTACAGGGATGGTCTGTGGATGAAATGAAGGAGGCTAACAGCTTTTCCTTTCCTTTTTATCTGGCTTTTCTCCCATTCGGTGACCCAAGGCAGCTCATGAGAGGGTGAAAAAGCAGAGATGGCCAAAACCCATAAAAAGTTATTAAAACTACTCCCCTACTACTTCCCTACAAATGTTCCTCAATGTATCTGGAAGGTTTTTGCTTTTTATTTATTGCTTTCAAGAACTCATTCCCCAGAGCTTGGAGAAGTGTTTGTGGTGGCCGGGAGCCCTGTTTGGGAACGACAGTCCAAAAAAGTAGCTTTTCTGCAAAAAATAGCTTTCCCCAGCTCACGCTTTCTACCGTTGCTTTTCTCAGCTTCTACAAACCTACCAGCTTACCAACCCTGGCATTGCGGAGGTGGCTCTCCGCCAGGACGGGAAGATCCTGGCAACAGCCGGCTGGGACCATCGCGTCCGCCTTTTCGGCTGGAAGAAGCTGAAGCCGTTAGCCGTCCTGGACTACCACGGGGCATCTGTCCACTGTGTCGCCTTTTCAGACCACTGCCAGCCCAGCGAGAGACTGATGGCCGCCGGCTCCAAAGACCACCGGATCAGCGTCTGGTCAATATATAACCAAACCTGACAGAGAAGGGGAGATGGAGCGGTCCGGACAGACCAAGGCTTGTGGGATAAGCCTTGGTTTTGTGATGGTCCCGAGTGGGTACTTGACAATGTCAGTGTATGACCATTGGCTCTGCTACACTCCTTTGAGTCTTTGCCTGAGAACAAGCCTTATTGACTGCAACAGGACTCGGAGATTGGAAAAGTTACCGCTTTCAACTCCAGGTCCTCAAATCCCCTAGCACTGGGAAGACGTACATCGGAGTAAAAAAAGGACTGGTGGAACTGTGTTGCAGAGGGAGTTTTGTCACATATTGGAAGAGATGGGTTCCTGGCTAGCTGATCCAGCCTTTAGTCTCATCGAAATCAATGGGTCAAGTTCATGGTAACCGCCATGACGACGCCATTCAATTTCAGGGACTGGGTGTGGATTCCCCCCCAGCTTTTGTATTCTTATAGAATGAGATTTCCAGGGTTGGGTAGTGATGGCCTTCCAGATGTTTGGGGGCTATGCTTCTCATCCGCCCTAGGCAGCGTAGCCAATGATGAGGCTAGTTTGAAAACATCTGGAGGGTCATCGTTGCTCAGAGGTCAGATTCAGGATCTACTTTCTTCCAACACAGGGTGGGTGACGGATGGCTTTCGGATCGCTTTCTTCATCCTTGATTAGGATGCCTTTGCGCTGCTGGGAGTTACAGTTCAAGAACATCTGGATGGCTGGACTTTTCCCACCTTGTACTTATGGAGGAGCTTGGCTAGGGGGAAGTCCCTCCCACGCTGTTTATGAATACTTCCCTCTTCTCTGTAGTTCACCCCTATTGAGTGGGATCTCCCAACCCTCTGGATAGAGTTTTCAGGGATCTGAAGGGTTTGTGCTTAAAAAGGAGACCGAGGAGGACCAGTTTCTGTCACCTCAGTGCCCTTCCCTAACTCCGAACCCAACCCCAACCCCATAAATTCAAAGCATCCTTTGGCAACCTTCCATCCTTCTGGGGTGGCAGGGATCCCAACCCCCCTCGGCCTCTCCCCCTGCCGTCTCCATCTTAGGACTGCCTTTAATTTGTTCACACTCCTGTCAGGTTTTCAAACTTAAATCAGCAGCCAAGAATGTGGCAGAGGACAGCCTCCAGCATTTGTGAATTTCATTGTCTCCTGTCACCCCAAGCGTTGCAATTAATCAGGAGAAAAGGGGTGGGTGGGAAGAGAACGTTTTTTGGCCTAGGAGATAAGGCGGGTTGTAAAACAATGTGAGAGTTATATTAAGAGGAATCGTGATAAATCCTTACCCTGTTTCTTGAGTAGCCTAGAGATTTGACTCAAAGGTCCGATTAAGGGCCGGAATCCTGTGCGATATCCGTGTACATGCAAGTGGAATTGCGGGGGCTGCCATGGCTAATTGACCTGGTGCAGGTCTCGTGCCTGGTCTTGCCTCCAGTGGTGGCACACACCTGGCACTTCATCAGCTACCTGTAACAACATCCACAATTGGCCAGAGAGCACATCGTTCCTTCCTGTTGGTCCCCATCAAATGTCTGTGAGAAGAATCTTCCAACAATGCGGGGCCACCACAGAGAAGCCTCTCCGCTCGCCTGACTCGGAGAGTATACAGAACTAGAGCAGAGGGCTATCAGCCTTCCTGCTGACACTTCACTCCAGATCCATCTATGACCTTATCTGCAGCTTCTTAGAGATGTGATCCAGTGGAGTGGATAAGATGTGTCTTCATAGGACCCTGCAGCACAGTTGGATCCTTTATAGGACACTGTTGAGTCCTTCATAGGACACCGTTGAGTCATTCATAGGACACTGTTGGGTCCTTCATAGGACAACGTTGAGTCCTTTATAGGACAACGTTGAGTCATTCTTAGGACACTGGTGGGTCCTTCATAGGACAAAGTTGGGTCCTTCATAGGACACTGTTGGGTCCTTCATAGGACAAAGTTGTGTCCTTCATAGGACACTGTTGGGGTTGGGTCCTTCATAGGACACCATTGGGTCCTTCATAGGACAAAGTTGTGTCCTTCATAGGACACTGTTGGGGTTGGCTCCTTCATAGGACACCATTGTGTCCTTGATAGGACACAGTTGAGTCCTTCATAGGACAACGTTGGGTCCTTCATAGGACACTGTTGGGTCCTTCATAGGACACCGTTGGGTTCTTCATAGGACCTTGCAGTGTCCTCTCGCAGCAGTGCCATGTGCTGCACCTCCTCCTGTTAAATCCAATCCAGTCTTTTGCAACCTAAGGAGACACACGTATTTCGGTGTATTCCGAGTCACGGCTTCCTTCCTGCTTTTGCAAATTTGCCTTCGCAGTTATTGGGCTTATTCCAGATGTGGAAAGAATCCTTCCAGGAACCCGACTAGGGATAGTGGTGGAGCCAGGCACCATTGGAGGGAGCTGGTCTCCAGCAAGAATGCCAAGGTGGGCAGGAGGCAGATTCATTTAGATTTTAAAAACAACAACTCCCAATATCTTTGACAGTTGCTGAGCCAGCTGGGGTTGATGGTAGTCCAGATCTTGAAACAGAATGCTGGGTATGTATCAGCACTTGGGGAAGACTTGAAGTGTTGAGAATGTTTAACAATCTTGCATGCAGACGTAATGCAGGATCACATGAGAGAAGAAGGAACCCCCCAGTTAACTAACTTGATTGCATGTTTGTTTATCACTTACCGATTAATTAAAATGAACCTTTTCTCTTGGCGGAATAATAATCCCTCCTCTACTTTGACTAATTAGAAGAGGTTTGATTGGTCTTTCTTTGGAAACCAGCTGTTTTCCAACTTGAGGAACAGTGGTCCCCAACCTTGGGCCTCCAGATGCTCTTGGACTACAACTCCCAGAAGCCTTCACCACCACCTCTGCTGGCCAGGATTTCTGGGAGTTGAATTCCAAGAACATCTGGAGGCCCACGGTTGGAGACCACTGCTATAGAAGACATGTTTTTCTTTTTTACTTTAAAGCAGTGTCTGACTATTTTCTACTGGTCAGTGGAGCAGGGTGGCTTGGTAACTTGATGGTTAATTGTAGCTTCAAGATCACCATACAAAGGGGAATTAAAGGTATTCTTTCTGCTACCATAAAGCCTATTTTTCCCTATATGGGGCAGTGACACCACACACACCCCATTCTGAATTGATCCATCTGCAAGCATGCCCCGGGCTCATCCGGGGAAAAGAGGACCAGCTCTTCACTGTGACAACATGAGCAAGACCACACAACATACCTGTGCTATCGTCTGATACTACTTCATGGAGAAGACAGATGGGTTCTTATTTTATTTCATTTTCCTTGCCCTGTTTCCCCCCCTCCCCCCAGAGAGGAGATACAAAGAGCTAGAGGTTGAGTTGCCCAAGGCCATTGGAATCATTTATTTCAATTATTCCACAGTTTCTAACATGCCCTGCTCTCGATGCACAGTTTGAATCACCTATTCAGATATATTAAAATTTTTAATAACTGGGGTGAGGAACAAGGAAAAGAGTATCATGGGTGTTGTGGGTTTTTTCGGGCTCTTTGTCCGTGTTCTGAAGGTTGTTCTTCCTAACGTTTCGCCAGTCTCTGCGGCCGGCATCTTCAGAGGACAAACCCACAACAACCATTAGATCCCGGGCGTGAAAGCCTTCGCGAATACACAAAAGAGTATCAGCCTAGTGAAATCAATCAAGAACATTTGCATCAGGTTTCTAGAAAATGCCCTGAATCACTAGGGCATGAATGGAGTAAAGTGATCCCCAGATGTTGAAGGTCATGGTCATGTTGAAGCCCAACCCCAACAGTGTTACTAGAAAGGGACGTGGTGGCGCTGCGAGCTAAACCGCAGAAGCCTGTGCTGCAGGGTTAGAAGACCAAGCAGTCATAAGATCGAATCCATGCAACAGAGTGAGCCCCCGTCGCTTGTCCCAGCTCCCGCCAACCTAGCGGTTCGAAAGCATGCAAATGCAAGTAGATAAATAGGGACCACCTTGGTGGGAAGGTAACAGCGTTCCGTGTCTAAGTCGCACTGGCCATGTGACCACGGAAAGATTGTCTTCGGACAAAAACGCTGGCTCTATGGCTTGGAAACGGGGATGAGCGCCGCCCCCTAGAGTCGAACACGACTGGACAAAAATTGTCAAGGGGAACCTTTACCTTTACCTTACTAGAAAATGCCCTGAATCACTAGGGCATAAATGGAGAAAAAGTGATCCCCCAGATGTTGAAGGTCATGGTCATGTTGAAGGTGATGGTGCCTGAAGCTAATAGGACTTGGGAATCCCAAGTTCTTTGAGGGGCCACAGATTCACTTCCTCAGCCCCCACGTGCCTCCAGGGCAGTGGTTCCCAACGTTCAGTTCCCAGATGTTCTTCACCACTGGCTGAGCTGGCCAGGATTCATGGGAGTTGTAGTCCAAGAACATCTGGGGATCCAAGGTTGGGAAACCACTTCTCTAGGGCTTTCCGGTCACTGGACTTGATCTCCCATGAGATCAAGCCAGCATTGGGAAGGGTTGGTGGAATGGGAATTGTCCAATAGCCGGAGAACCTTTGAGCTCAGTATCAACTTCCTGGCTTCTCTGTTTTAGAAAGATGAGAGAAGGAACGAGCCATCGCTGGTCAGAGCAGGCAACACTCAAGATGAAGGGACCCCACAGTCAAACTTGGTGTGAGACAACTTCCTACATTTACTCATTTCCGAGGGGGAGGAATTATTTTTAGCAAGGCAAAAATTTACAAATACTTTATTGCTTTCTGGCCAGTCAGGCTGTACGCATAAATGGAAATTAAACCAAAGATAGTATTTGGCATCTAATATAAATACATATAAACAACCGGAAAAGCAACAAAATGATAAAATAAACATTGTCAGGCAAGTTTCACTCTGAAGAGATTGTGAAGCAAGGGCAATCCTAGCAAAAATAAAATGGAATTGTTCTTGATCCCGATTGTTAGGGGTTTAAGATATAGGTCTCTCAAATCTGCAAACGGAGGGCCTTCTGTTAGAAAATGTACCATGGCACTACTATACATCTAATTGATTTCCAGCAAGAAGAAATGAGTTTAGCGTTCTCCCATACTTGACGTTTCAAAAATTTTAAACACACCCACCTGACATCAAATAGGAGGGAAATTTCAGAATATTGGTCAAATTCCTTAGAAAAATGCATTGAAGGTCACCTCATTTGCCTCAGCCACCCCAAAAATTGCATCCGAGATATGCTCATGAATATATGCAGAGTGAGAAAGAATGAACAGGATGTGAATTTTTTATATATATACAGTATTTTTTTTCATAGTTCCCCATCTCTCTTCAGTTCTTGGGACCAAGGGCAGGGAGGAAACCGGACTGAAACGCACTTCCTCATTTTTGCCCAAGCCCTCACCTGTCAGAATTAAAGGGACCGTTTTCACCTGAAGGGAAGAATTCAGCAGTGACGGCGATGACAGCTAAATTATGGTGTAAAGTCTCCTGTCCCTAGTGAGTGAACGGCTGTGTGATCCTGTGATTTGAGGGGAAGGGGGGGGGAAGGGGAGGGCAAACGCCTGGCATTCCTAAATTAATCAATATAAATCTTCAGCACTCGCATTTGCCCACCAATTACATGGGATATTTATCACAGCCGAAAGGGATGCTGATCTCTGACCCCTAGACATTTCCTGCAAATGAATCAATTAGTTCCGAAGCCCTTCCCCTCCTGCACGCTTGGTTGGGGGGGGGAGACGTTCCCTTTTGGAGGACCGTTGAACTTGCATTCAGAGCAAGGAGCTGTGGGCGGAAGAGGAGCTTGAGAACAACCCAGTGAAAAATCAGACTTAGAATCTCCTCCTTCCATTGCTTTCCTTCTTGGTCCTTGGTTGAGCGCTCCTGCATCTACAGTAGGTTTCTCCAACGTGCCATGCTTTCCAGATGTGTTGAACGCTAGCCAAAGCAAAGCCATGTGATCTGTGGCTTTCCAGATATGATTTCCCACCAACTTTCATCCGGTGGTAATGGGCGATGGGACTGTTAGTTTATCAACCTCTTGAGGGACAAATGTTCCAAGTCGTCCCAGCAGCCCTGATGGCTAGGTATGAGGGATCGAATCCATTTGAAGGGTGCCAGCTTGGCTAGGCTCAGGGATCCTGGAGAGCTCTCTCCATTGAGGTGGTCAAAAGTGAGTTTGTCTCTGGAGAACTTCTACTCCATTGAGTACCTAAATGATTGGACTCCAGATCTCGGAATTCCCAGCCAACATGGCCTGGTGGCTACGGATTTTGGAATTATAGACATCTAGGAGTAAGGATGTGAAGAATATTAGATCAATGCCTTGCTCTCATCAGCGCAGGCTGTCTCAACACCAGGAGATACTTCCGAGGGAATCTTTTAACATTTCACAAGATTTCTCGCATCCAGCAAGAGAGAACGAGACAGCCACGACAAGGTTTCTGCAATTTGAACAAAAAATGGTCTCTGTGCAAAATGAATGTCTTTGTGAAGCAGAGCACATGCACATGTTAAGCATAGGATGTCAGCCTGATGGATCAGAAAGATACAAGCAACCCATCGTTGCTTCTACCACTGCTGCCTTGTGCGATATTTGTCACATTTGGGCAGAATTTTCAGAAATGTGAAAACTCTAATGGAATGCATTAGGAAATCTCTTGGTCTGGTGTAGGTAAGTAGAAAGACTTTCCAGGTTCTTGTTCTTGTGCACAAGGAGGAAAAAAACCCACAAAGACTTACGTCCCTGATTTGCAGACCAGGATTAAGATACCCTGCCCTGGAGAAAACCAAAGCTTTTCATTTTTTCATCTGTCCCACTTATCAGTATGGATGTT